TCCCCAACAATAGTCGGACTGAGGACTATTATTAGGGAGCTCTTGACACCACTGAGATTCAGCAGGTATGACTACTTCTCATCCTATCTGCTGTTTTCCATCAAACCTCATCATCACTTCCTCAACTTCCCTTTTGCCTCCCGGCGTTCTTCACTCCATTTGAAAAAATTCAATGGCAGTTTGAAATATGACTCCGTTGAGAAAGGATTAGGTTTCGACAGTGAAGCAAAGATGCAGCATCGATTTGGAGCAAAAAATACGAGCGGCACAGATGAAAGAAGGCACTGATAACGAACCCGTTGTGACATGACTTGCAAAGCAGCATCTTTTGCTGCCAGGTCTTTCTCATGACGCTGTACGAGCTGTCGCACCTCAACATTCAACATCGTCTTCTCTGAAATCACAGTGATTATTACCATAAAGTATGACGAAGCACTAATCCAACTCTCTTCCCTTTCCGCACAAAAGAAATGAATAACCTTTGTCGGTTGTAGATAAATTTTCTTCGGCAATACGTCGGGCCAAGCGTTCACTTTCAAGCTGCGCGAGTATGTCCCGAGTTCGTTCCTCCTCTCGTCTTCTATAAAACGCAGATGCAAAAACTGCTTCTGCAATTTTAAGCGGCAAAAGCTCTTACTGATGTTCCTCCAGCTGTTCCAAACGCCGAGTCTTCTCCACCAACTCCTCATTCAGTGCATTCATTTCTGTTTTGTAGATGTTCTAAAAAAATTAACAAGAAGCTGCAATTTGATGAACTTCTCCGGGTAGATGGCGTACAACACATGAGTTCAAAAGACAGAAAGAGGAAAAAAAGTCTTCAAAACGAAACAGTTGTGCTGAAGAACGTAATTTCCAAATCGCAGAAGGATGCATTTCACCAATAACTTGTTCCTCCCCGCTTTTTTGTAGACAAGCCATAAACAAACCTACTAAAAGCAAAAAACTTGTATAAAAAATGTATTTCTAACCCTCAAAATCACTCTAAGCCTGCTAAGGATATTTTTACTTGCATCATTTATTCTGAATTTATTGTATGTTACTGGCAGTGCTTCTAATACAGCAAGGGTACATGTCTGACAGTTTACAGTGGGCATCACAACATCAGCAGCTGTGACCTGCAAACGGTATTTTAACTGCAGTGATATGCGGGGAACAGGGTAACTTACCACAAATGAAGATTCTGTGTCAAATTGCTCTCGAACATCTTCCAGTTGCCTTTGTAAGAGACGATTAGATGACGACAAACTTTGCAACTGCAGCTCCAAACGCCGTTTTTCATCGCGTGCACGCTTCAACTCCTAAATTGGTGATTTAAGCAAGAAAACTTTTCCCGCATTTTAAACAATGGAAGGTGAAAGCAATTTTCCGATGCGGTTCAAATAACATCACTTTATCAGCACTTAATACCCACTGGGAAAGCTGAAAGTACTTCTAATTTCTTAACAGTCAGATTATGAAACGAAGTGAAGAACCGCGTAAAGGTTATTTTCTTAGTGGAAATTTCAAACCACTAAAGAATCTCACTTAAAAATCCGAATCGTTATCAGAATAAAAATTACTCGTCGTTGCACTGAATTTGTCAACAATGACGTATACTACGCATCAAGCAGTGTATTTCTTCGCTACTGTTTCGGCCAGAAAAGTTAAATACATCACATCTATTAAAACTCTTTCGTTTCTATTAAGACCAAAAAAATGCTGCAGTTTAAGAGATATTCCACAAAGGTAAATTAATAAATGCTAACATTTTCTTGGTACTGTAGCGAATTTTGCAAATTGGCCAACTGATCAGCAATACAGTCCACTTCATGCTGCGCAGATATCCTCCTGCTCGTTTCCTGCTCGAAATCTGAGGCGAGTTGCTCAATCTGCAAATTCGAATTAAAAACTTTTCCATCGCTAACCGCTGGCCAAACAGGATGCATCTACAGCTCTTCACTGTGAACAGAAACTGGGGCAATCATTCCTAGTTATAGTAGCATCGTTACGCTGTGCTCTGCAATACGACATAACAGTAACTCGGAACAGAATCACAGTGAAATTTGCCTGATTCTAAGCAAAAATCAGGAAAGAGAGTCATCGGTAACCTAAGCAGCATATTGTTACTGCTAAAATTTGTTTGGGCAACTTCAAGCTGTCACAAACAATCAATGATATATGAAGAGGATTTTGGCCTCGCGAATACATACGGAAAGAGGCTGTGTCGGTTCGTTCAATAATTAATACCTTCAAAAAACCACAACTAAATTTTATAAACACCAAAAAATACAGCGTACCTTTTTGTGGGCGGCCTGAAGTTCGTTTACGAGGCGAATGTTGTTCCGCCTGATTTCATCATTTGTCCGATTCTCATCCGAGAAATTCTCCTCCCTTGCCATTATACTTTCGCTGAGCTTTCCGATTTGGCATTTCAGCGCCATCTCCCTTTCACGGAACGCTGCCAACTCGGCACGCAATTCCTCTGTTTTTTCATTTTGCTCCTAAAAAAATGCACAAAATCATTTACAGAATCCTAGGCGAAATGACTGTCTTTTTGAGAAAGCAAATGCTTACAGTGAGGCGCTGTTGTGCTCGTCGCACATTCTCGCGTTCCTGGACATTCTGGGCGCAGAGCTGCTCGATTTGCTGCTGTAGCGCAGCTTCCTCTTCAACATTCTTTTGCAGCCGTTCATCTAATTCGCGGGCAATTTCTGTTTGTGCATTTAATTTCGTATGTAACTCGTTCTGTTGCTTCCTGGCACGTTCCTCCGCTTCCGCATGGTGCCGGCATTTCTCGTTCAACTAAAAACTAATATAAATAACCTAGCAGTAAAAACTGCGTGTCGACGAAACAAAAATCCAATAACCGAAACAGTTCTACGTATGGCCGGGTAATCCAAAGTATGCGCAAGCTAGAAGGCTGAAATGTTGTGGACATAGTCGCCGATGCGTGCAAGACCAAGG